GGAATAGTATCAGCCATAAAGTTATAATCTTTTTCTCTAAGGACACACACATACACACTCTTTGGGCGTGCCAGTTTCTAGCACAAGACCATGAATAAAGTTACTTTCAATAAAGGGTTTTGATTATATTAAGTCACATATAAAGACTATGTTATATACTATGATTTATAATCACATAAACTTATATATGAGGACCATGTTACATCACACAGTTTAAAAATTTCTGCCTTTAATAGCATTCATTTTTTCTAAGATTTGCTAAGCACCTACTTTGCATCTTGCATGTGCTCAGCACTTACATTTCAATGGCAAATAAGCCTAGTGCTTTTCTCCTTAGGATTTACATGCTGAGAGAAGAGAATTTAGCAACCATAGAATGACTCACTGTGCCAGGGAGTGTTACAAAATGAATACTTCTGCTAGTGGGGAACAGGATGGAGAAGAGTAGGATGGGGAGGGAAAGTAAGCAGTGATATCCTACACACCAACAAAAGCAAGTAGATACCAGAGGAATGAAATCAGGCTATATTCAGAAGGGTTTCCTGAAAGCAGGATGCATTATCTTACATCCAACTTGGATTCTTACAATGGGAATACTTCCAGTTAATATTCACAAGTGTCCTGGTTCCTGAGCATGCCTGGTAACAGTAACCAGGACTAGAATGAGAGAAAGCTAGGAGCAAAGGATGAAGTCAGAAGTTTGGGGAAGCAGTTTGTTGCTGACATAGAAATAAAAGTATCAATTTAAAGGTTATCTACTGGACACGAGGTAGATTTGGTCATATTAAAAAGTAAAGAGGAGAAAGTACAACCAATTATTCAAACTAGGGAAAAGGAAGCCTGGGCTGTGGAAAGTCATAGTAATACACCTGGTTTCACTGCTGATGAAAACGAGTGTGAGGAAGTGAAGGAACATTGTCTCCGCCACTTACCCATGGGGCTCAGTACTTCAGCAAGTTTCTCCATCTCTTTGTGACTCAATACCTTAATCTTGAGAGGTGGGACGATGTTACTGATTTTGCAGGATTATTGGGAGGAATAGCACAGAGGTTGTGTGGTACACAATAGATGTTTGCTCTGTGTTACTGCAACCTTATCTAGCAATTGTCATTTCTAGTCTGGGAAAGAAGACAATCTATTCAGAACCACATCACAGCATCCTTCCCATTAAAATTGTTTGCATACAGCTTCTTCTTACACTGAAGAGCCTCATCTAAAGGGAATGCCATCAGAGTGAACACAACGTCTGAACAGCCAAACTTCACAAATTCTCATTTTTCTACTTGTGACTCTAGAGAAATGCAAACCTTCAGTCTTAGAGGGCAGCTCTAGCTAGTCCAATGGTCCCCAGGGACAGAACAGGTGACAGATCTCTAGGATAAGATGCCAGTTCTCTGGTTACTTCAGAAAGGCTTATTAGCTAAAATAAAGAAACCACTTCTGACTAGGTTTTCAAACCAGCATTAAGTTGAAAATTGCTAAAGGGATTTTAATATTATTTGAACATATAAACTGAAGATATTACTCAGTATTTTCTCCCATAAGTGACCATCCAGTTGGAGTTTCAGTTGTGGTTCTTTGGCTTCAAAACTCATTTCTTTATTTTAATGCTAGCTCTTGGGCCAACTAAATATTTTTAATGCTAAGTTCCCTGACATAACTGATAAGAAGACTCTCTCCATAGTAAATCATATCAGAAAATGGTTTCTCTTCTAGTTCTGGGCATATGGTTGTTTTATATTTGTAGGAACATAATTAGAGATAATGCTCTCTCTAGGCAATATGACTGCAAATATCTATATTTGAGAGACTTCCTAATTTTACTCCTGAGAACAAAAGGGTATTTATAATATGACATTTAAACTTTTTCTACTTTATTCTGGACATTGTCAGAAATAATATGTGTTTTTCCACTTAAATTATAAAAATGACTATAAAAATAAAAGTGACCAATCCCTATTGCACTGAAATATATTCATAGAATTTAAAAGGTGAATCAGTAGCTAAGTGTTTTCTGTTTCAAACTAAAATATATTAGACTTCACTTCAGCAGGATAGAAGCTATCAAAATGTCCAAAGTGATCTGATTTAAATTTCAAGAAACTTCAATAAGCAGGGACTTAAAAGATTTTACTTACATAAAGTAAGTAAAAAAGAAGATGAATCATAGAATAAAGCCACTCAAAGGCTGGGCATGGTGATACATGTCTATTATGACAAGAGGAGGAGAAGGAGAATCCTGGCTCCAGGACAGCCCAGACAAAAGTTAGTGAGACATCAATAACAAGCTTAGGTGTGGTGGTAGCCCAAGTCTATGGCTACCCAGAAAGTGGAGGAAGGAGGATTCTTATCCTAGGTCAGCTGAGGCAAAGTTAGCAAGAGACTTTATCAGCTAAACAAAGGAAGAGCAAAAGGGCTAGGGGTATGGCTCAAGTGGGAGAGTGCTTGCCTAGAAAGCCTAAGGTCCTGAATTCAAGTGTTGGGGGGGGGCAAAAAAAGAAACAAGCACTTCAGCTCATATGTTTTAATTTATATAGTCATTAACTAAAATTTCTTCTTTCTTTGTGAGAGAATTGTAGCTTAGACATAAAACATCTCTTTTTCTGTGAAAAGCTTTTGTGACTCAGGTTCTTCATGCTGTAATAAAAACTCAGATAAGGAAACAATACAACACAGACTGGCACAGCGATTAATCATTCTGTACTTCATTCCAAATTGTGTTAGCCATTGAAAAAACTACTTAATACGTTAAAGTTTTATGCATTTTTCACTGTCTGCTACTGCACGAAATAGTCAAAGAGCTCTTGGTATAATGAAATAGTTGTTCGGAAAAACATTTTTTCCTGATGAATACTGTAATCAAGATGCAAGAAATGCACTTTGTTGCAGCCTCCAAAACTGTAAGTAACACATCCTTGAGAAGCAAACAAAAAAGTGCAAATTCTCAAGCTAACTGCCCAATTTATGCCACTGAGCCAACTTTTGAAGGAAGAACACCTAAAAATTATTATAAATATTAAAATGCTTTCTACTGATGTGCTCTAAAAACTACCACAGAATTTCTGTGTGTGTTAACTCTGCAGAGAAATCGAAGGCCCTTTTCACAACATCTATTGATCAAAATAGGTAGTGATATGGTGAATTTCATTTTAACAACAAAATAAACATCTTTTCCTGATGATAATACACTCTTGACATGCTTGCCATATGGGGACTTCGAAGTTAAGAGTGCAAGTGCACACCTTCCCACACAGCTTCTGTATCCAAAATGCCTTTCTCTTTTTACTTCTTCATTACCTAGGCTGTTCACTCACTTCTCTCCCTTTCCTATCTCCTGAAGCCAAAGTTTCCATTCTTCTAATTTGACTTATTTTATATTTCTTTTCTATTTTCAGCCTGTATTACATCATGGTTTCCAACCTCCACACTGTTGACATTTGGAGCCAGGTATTTTTGTTTTATTTCTGAAGGTTGTGGGTTGGCCTTAGTCTAAAAGATAACCATAATATGATCAATACTCATAGATGTGAGAACTGAAAGTCTCTAGATATGGCCAAATGTCCCCTGAGGGACAAAATCACCCTGCTGAGAACCACTGTATTACAGCAACTTGTATAGGTAACATCACATTCAACTTTGAATATTGCCTGTTACATGAGACTTGGCTAGAAGAAAGGCTCTGTAAATATTTATTAAATGAAGGCAGTAGAAGATGGTGTTTTAGAGTTACAGCACATCACCGGAATAATAAACCTTTTCCCCATATGAACTGAGTTTGGTTTCACTTAAGAATTTAAGAATACTTCTACATCCATTTTGGATTTATTTCCCCAGCTTTGAATGAGCGAGAGAAGACTGTTTTTCCAATATGATAGCTCTCACTTGAACTCTGGTTCATAAATTTCTAATGGGCTTAAAGAACCCTGTACATTTTTTCTTTTCTTTCTTTCTTTTTTTTCCCACTACTAGCAAAAGATGACATCTGATGCAATTCCACAAATAAAACAAAGGGAGAGAAATGTAGGGGAAAATTGAAGAGGATGGAGCAAAAGAAGTTAGGAGAGGAAGTAAAGAATGAGAAAGTGAGCAAGCTACAATAGGTCTTTTCGTATTCAAATAAAAATATTTTTTAAAGAAAGTGTATTTTTCAACTTGAACAGGATTGAAAGAAATAATTTAATTAAAAGTAATTGATTTTTTCATATATACTGTAGTTAATCTTAGACAAACAAGAAAAAATAGAAAAGAAAGGATGATAAAGAAAAATTCCAAATAATGAAAAGAAAAAAAGCTGAATTTCATTAATTAGTGCCATATTTCTAATTTAACAAGCATGAGAAAAAAAACCACAAGTAATGGGGAAAAGTTCATTCAAGGTATTAGCTGTTATACTGATCATCAAGGAGATTTATATATAGTACGTAATAGCACAGAATCTAGATCTGCACTTGCTGTACTGGAATCAGGCTTCCCGCTTCTTAGTAATGGTACTTTGGGTTTGGGTTCTCCCAGAAGTAGAACCTGAAATAAGCATTCATGGGAGAGAGGGTCTACCTGGTGAGACATCCCAGAAAACATTTGGTAAGGAAGGGAGGAGGTGAGAAAGAAAAAATAAGGAAGCTAAAATCAAATTTGTTATCAAGGCAGCCCTCTGCCTTGATGGAGCCCCATTTCATAGGGGCACTACGAGGTGAAGTATATGTAGAATACACTTTAGAATTGTACCGAGTGGGGAAAATGGAGGCTTTTCTCCCTTTCTTACTTAAAAAAAAAATCCATTAACTTCCTACTCCCCTCAATTATAATTAATGAATTATAATTCTGGTAGTTTCAATAGAGTAATAGAGAATTAATAAACCATAATGAATCATAATCCTCCATTCTTACTTATGCTTCAATTTACTTGAAGAAAATTATTCATACTATTTATAATAATTCTGAGGTTGAATTTTAGTTTAGGGTTCGGTTTTTCCTATTTTCAGGTTGAATGTGTTACTTACTCTGTGAGGTTTGAGTGTCTATGAATTTCTTTATCAAGGCATCAGTAGTTTGGGTATAAAGACTGAGAGCGTATCTCAGGGAGTGAAGATCTGGGCTTTTCTCCAAGAAATTCTTTTTCAGACCATTTCCTCCTGCATGAAAGTATTGCTAAAAAGAAAAAAAAAGTGATATAAGTGAGGGATTTAAGAGTAAATACTGGAGGAGGGACTTTATTATTCTAGTAACAATGCCCCCAAAATAATGCAATGTGATCAATATAAGGTGGGAACAAAGAAACAGTACAACCATTTATCCAATGCTAAGTCATCATCATCTAATTCAGCTTTCCATGAAATGAGATCCTTAGAGGTCTAAGCCTTTTCCTCTCAAAGCGTTGGTTAAACAAATGGGATAGTGAAGATGTAATGATCAGAATCTCTATGGAATGATGGGCTTAGGTAACAATTGTCAACTTGGTTATTCACTTCTATTTCCAGAGAATACCTAGGGTTGTCAAAATATCACAGAGAAGTTAGCTCCTAGTCACATAATTTGTAGACACTAGTTTGAAATTCTAGACCAAATATCTTGCCCATCCTGTAATCACACAATGGTGCAGATACAGGCTAACCTGATGAAGCAGAAGTCTTTTTGGAAATCCAGCACCCTCTGACCTTTGTGTCTGATAAGCATAAGGAAGCACTGAGTTTTTGTTTATACTATTGTCACTCAACAAACTCAACACATTTCAGATTTGTACATAAGATAAAAGAGAAAATATATGTTCATGATAATAACTACAGTTGTTGAGGGATCTTAGTGTTTTTCATATTGTTACACACAGAAGTCTTTTTAAAAAGCAGAATGTCTAGAAATATGTGGTAAGACTATGGATTTGTTTCTAGCCACGTACAATGGTTAGATAATATATTTACAATATTCTGCTAAGGTTAGATTAATGGTTTTCTCTATGTCTCTTCCTGCATTAACAATGCTAGAGAAAATGGAATATTTATTGGGAACCACGCCTCCCTGTGATCTATAATTTTCTCAGAATGAAATATTTTGAAGATACTCTATAAATAATTATGATACACTCTTTTAAGTGGAGGTGTGTCATCTCTTTATCCCATTCCTTGGGGCTGGAAGCATGGCTCAAGTGGTAGAGTGCATACTCAGCAAGTCTAAGGCTCTGAGTTCGAACCCCAGCACCAGCAAAAAGTCAAGCAAACAAAAATTTACATATCCCACTCCTTAAAGATGTCTAAGGTAAAACAATTCAATGAACTGAAAAGTCATAATTATCTGTTTCTCATCTATTTAAAGGGATGTGCATTTACAAATGCACATTTGTAAAGCGTCTGAGTGTGCTTTCAAAGAAAAAAATGTAGAGGAGAGTCAGGATATAAGCCAGAGAAAGCAAGCAATGGTAATATAACTGTAAGAAAGATTGATACATTTGCAGTCTAACTCCCCAAGAAAAACTTATGGTCATGTACAAATTCTACTTGTTGATGATGCTAGCTGAGTGTACTATGAAAACACGAGTTCTGGCAAAGCTTATATAAGGTTATAAACAGGCAGCAAAGAAAAATGGATAATATTGAAAACTGTTCTGTATTTTTATCTTATAAAATACTTAAATATTTCTACATGTAGATGGTATTTATTGAGGACTGTGAGTCCAGAATTGTTTCAAGTGCTTTGATGGATTAAAAAAATAATAATTTCTTTAAGAAACATGATATGATATTAATAGTGGAGAAAAAATTAAAGGGGAGTATTGCGGAATGAAGGTTTAGCTTGGTCTTGACTTTGTGTCACCTAGAAGAGGAGTTGGGTATTCTCTGGAGGTGTGTTCACATAATGAGCCAAGGAGCCATCGGAAGAAATGCTCATCATAAGATAAAAGAGCAGTGTATAAACTGAGCCAAGAATAGGAGGAAGCTCTGGAAGAGAAGGCATTCTCTCTGTTAGTGTTTCTCAGACAAGCCCTAGTCTTATCAAACCTGAGCATAAGTTCTAGAAATTTATAATAAAACTGAGGAGGGGGTAACAACAATGATAAAATGACCCTTTTGCATTTCTAAGAAAAAAATGGGCAAAAAGATTTAAGGGGTATTCTATTTACTGTACCCATCTGGTTATTTTCACTTACCATCTTTGACCTATTTAAAAGGCATGAAGGTAGAAAAAGACTAATAATGTAAATGGTTTTTGCTCATAGAAATGCAAATTAATTACTCCTGGTGGAATGCAACTAATTATTGCTCTGTAGATTGATCTGTTTTGACTCAATTTGTGATTTTTTTAAAGATTTTTTATTGCTTCCATATTGTTCTTAGAATTCTTCTCTTAGCCAGTTGTAAAATCTTCCTTATCACCCCTTTAATTGATAAGTTCAATGACCCTTTTTATAACTGCATCTTACTGGTTCTTTCATTAGTTGATGAATTAAGTAACGACTTTGGCATATTTCATAACTGCACATCTATGTTCTCTTTTAGAACTTATTCTTTAACTGTGTGTATAAAGTCACACAGGTGATAGCATTTTTAAGGATGACCACAGTTCTTATTCCCTAATTTGTGGGGGCCATGGACCCTTGGGTCACTGTGATAGTATCGGTGGTATGGTCTGCCTTCCTGCCTATTCTCTCTTTCTCTCCTTAGCAAGTATTTATTAAACCCATTCCATAAGCCAGACTTTGTGCTGGATACCAAAGATGTAATGCAAAAGAGGCACAGTGATCTCTTTCAAAAGGATTATAACCTAGTGCCTTGGGGAAATATAACCAGCATGTAAACCAATGACGCCAACAATATGTTACAGGTGTAAGAAAAATTGTTTGACAATGCAAATAATGGGGAGAGGCAAACAATTCTATTGAAGGAGTTAAAAGATGTGGATTCTTTGGTGTTTCTCAGTACTGCTATTTTTAACTTCAAAAAGCACTAGATAATTCACAGCAGGGAACTAGACAAAGAGGACAGTTCTACTGAGTTCCCAAGAGAAACCCTGGGATTCTCAGTGCTATCTAGGAAGAATTGGGATACTTGTAATTCTCACAATATAGCCCTTTGATATAGCTTTAAAAAATACTGTTTGCTATTTTTTTATTCAGTTCTCATCATTAAATTGTGATGCTTAGAAGCTACATATTCCCTCTAGGCAGTAGAGGTCCTAGAAAAATTAGGAGATGATACTGTTTTCTTAGAGATTCACAATGCTTAGTAATACAAGGCTTTAAACTCACTGTGGTTAAAAACAAATCTGCCTAACTTTTTTTTAAATACATCTGGTTTGTAAAATTATTTGGCCATGGGGCATCTATGTCACTGAATATTTATCCACAATTTTGAGGATACAAATGTTATTTGGGAAACTCCAGGAAAGAACATTTTGACTGGACCTCATATAATTGAGATAATGTTTTGAGGACCTAGAAGCTTCATGAAAGGAAATAGGAGGTAAGCTATAAGTCAAAAACTAGGTATTTATCTTTGAATCCTTTATAATAATTCTGTAGGAAGATACATTTTTCTACTAAGGCATTATTCTTATGACTCTGCAACTTCAGTGACTAATCATGAAGTAAAAACAAAGATAGGCGTTTGTTCTGAATAAAGCCCAGGTTTCTCCCTAGGCCTAAGGGTTTAGGTAAGGATCTCAATTGACTTCTTCCTTTTCAGCTACAGATTCTTAGGAGTCCTTCCATTAAAGGTTCTAGCAGGATACTTGGTGAACGGAAGATTTGTAAGGGCAGAACCCATGCCTTTGTCTTTTGAGTGCATTTTGTAATAGGAGATCTTGTAAGACAGTAAACCAGGAAGTAGGGTAGCAGTGTCAGGACAGAAAACAAATTACTTGGTGGGGAAGGAAAAAAGCAGCCTGTTCAGTGAACTTAAGTAGCACCTGCCACTGGCTTCTCACTCAAGCAGAGAAGGAAATAATTTCTATGGTTATGCACATGTAAACTCCACTGCTTTATGGAAGCCTTTCACTTGGTCTTCAGAAGCAAGGTGACAGCGCTCAAGGGTAGTGGTCTGATTTTTCTCTGGCGCAGGAAATCAGGAGAAAGGGGCTGTGGTTATTGCATGAAACTTGGCATTTAGAGATTTCACGTTCAGTTTTGACTCTCTGCAAGCAGCCCTGAAGGAACAGGAGAATGGAATTTTTATTTTGCTGAGGCTTAGAGGAAAGAAATGAAGAGTTGAGATGTGGGAATGAATGTCTTACGTATTAAACAAATTCCACTCTCCATAGCTTGTTATAGTTCAGTCGATTTCCATTCATTACAGTGAATTATATGTTAGAAGGAAATTACATGGTAGAGGGGAATTATATGCTAGAGGAAAATTTGAGAATGTGGGGTTTTTGAAGCTTTCTTGATGTTTCCCTTCTACATGTGAAAGTGGATTGTTTTCCACTGGTTCTAAACAAAAATGGTCACTCAGTTTCTTATTGTGTTTATGTGACCTGAATCATTATCTAGGACCCTCCAGTTTGGTGTCTTTGAAAGCTCTATTTATACTGGTAACAAGTGGCAAAAATAAATAAATAAATAAATAAATAAATAAATAAATAAAAATTGGCAAAATAAATAAGGATAGGTCATTTCCTCTTTGTTCAAGGAAAGCATCTTCAAAGTCTCTGCTGGAACTATGGAGAAAGTGTTTGTTTAGATTATAAAGAATAAGGATGTCAGCTGGATGAGTGTCTCTATGCTTGGCCATGTCCTGGCTGATATTTTTACCACGGATTTGGAAAGACAAAGGAGAAATCATGTTTTTCATATGAAATCATGTGAATCATGAATCATATGAAATCATGTGAACCCAAGCTTAAAGTTATTATATTGGATGGCACAAAGGACCTTCAGAAAGGTCTTGGCACTCTAGAATGATGGGTCATCATGTACAGAATGAATGGCAAAGAGAAAATGAAAGCATCTCATTCATAGCAAATATTCATACCCATGTTCCTTCAAAGTATAGGATGGTGACATGCCTTAAAAACATGAAATTTATTTTCCAGATTTTCGTTATTTCACTATAGTGTTTTCACTTTGTATGACTGGATATGCAATATACTGACTGGCAGAGGGGTTGTCAGGGAAGGAGTGGGAAGGTAAGAAGTAGCCTGAAAATGTCCCTTAACAGAGTAAA